TCGGAGACGAGCTTGAAAAGCATGGCAGAGCCCGCGAGCGCTACGACGTCTTCCCTTCACTAGTGAACCAATTGCGCGCGGCTAGCGATGGTCTAGTAGAGATATCTCGAGCAAGCTTTTGGAATCGATTATGGATCATACAAGAGATCACTTTGGCAAGGAAACTTTCGGTCTATCATGGAAAGATCCGACTTGGCTCCCAAATCATGAACAAGCATGCGCTTCATGAGCTCCTTTTATGGGAGACGCGACTGCCGTCGGACGCGATGGAGAGGGCAGTCGATTTGCTGCTGAGGCTGACTTTTCTCCAGGGCAAAGTGGCTGAAACTATAGCACTGCCTGTATTGGAGCAGGCAAGAGTGGTATTAGCATTCTTTAGTCGAGCCCGGACCTCCATCGCAACAGACCCGAGGGACAGGGTTTACGGACTTCTGGGAATATGCGCTTCCTACTTTGGCGCCGACTTCATGCATGCCGACTACACAATAAGTGCAGCGACAGTCTATACCACTTTCGCTTTGCGATTTATCGAATCGAGTGGGTCTCTACTTTTGTTGACTCAAGCTACGCCATTACACAACGCACTTTCCTCTCTTCCTAGCTGGGTACCAGATTGGTCGTCTTTTTATGACCATAAGTTCCAGGTCATACACCTGGCAAGATGGAAAGCGTATCGAGCTTTCCCTCACGAGGGTGGTTTCACAAATTGCCTTGTTGATGGAAATATGCTCCATTTGAAGGGAGTCTTACACAGCACAGTGACTAGCGTAGGCGAGGTGTACTATCCTGGTCATAGGCATCCGTTTCACGATCGCGTATTGACGCAGCTGTCCCATGATCAGACAATCGAGAGCTGGAAGACCTTATACGAAGAGCAGGAACCGCCTCTTTTGCATGGACATACCTCGCGTTCCAGTATGAGACGAAGTTTTGTACGAACAGTGCTGTGGGATATGAACCCGAGCCTAAGGCGTCCCGATAATATGCAAACGCCGTACCAGGCCATTGCTGAACCGAGTCGTGAGTACGAAAGGATCAATGCGCGGGGACTTGATGGCATGCTTTCTCCCGACCGCGGTGAGCTTGCTGAACACAATCGTGAGTACGACAGGATTACTGCTCTGCGACTTGATGGCATGCTTTCTCCGGACCGCGGTGAGCATGACCATACTCCTCTCAGGAGGCATGAGCTACTAGGTAATCTGTCTGCTGACAGGGCACTCTCCAGAATTGAAAGAGGACTTGTGAACAATCGTTTCTTCATCACGAGCAAAGGTGCGCCTGGCATGGGTCCCCGGAATGCCAGGCCAGGCGATGTTGTCGCTGTCCTCGATGGTGCGAATATGCCTTTTCTACTTCGGAAGGAGAGTACAGCTAGTCAGACAAATGAGTACCGCCTGGTAGGTGTTTGTTATGTACATGGCATGCTGGACGGTGAAGCTATCGAGGAAGCCGGCCCTGGTGCCATAGAGGACATCATTCTAAAGTGAGCCTGATGAATCTAACAAAGGGTGGCGAGATTACCCAAGATCGAATTGTATTTGGGTAACAGCTCAAAGGATTACTTTGGACCAAACTAGCTGTGTCAACGTCTAGTCTGCTAAGGCAGCAACTTGGTCGCCGTCTCAGCAGCGGCGCGATAGGGTATCAATGATATGGGAACACCGCCAGAATAACCAATATCTCCTTGTGCGACCTCAAGCTTCTTGGTCACCTTTCCGACCAGTTTCGCAATCCATCTGTCATTCGCAACAGCATCGACCGCAACTCTCTTCACCCCTTTTCTTACATCAGTACCCATTTTCCTGACATCGGTTCCCACCGCATGCGCGAATGCCCTGATGCTGCGCTTGGTCGACTCATTCATGGCACTGATGGAGCGCTTAGACGACGACTCGTGAATCGAGTCGTTGATGGAGTCCGCGTCAGTTATCGATTCTGCATCGGAGTCTGCGGCGACGGCATGATCGGGCACATCCTGCATCTCGATGATTTTAGTTGCTTTGACCAATGCAGCTACGAAATCCAACAGTTCTTGATCGAACACAGCTGGCAATCGTGCATGTACCGACAGATTCATGTTCGTTTCGTCTTTCTGAGTCTGTTCGAGCTCTTGTTCTGCCTGGAGCGTTTTAGGCTTTCCGTCAGCTTCGGCGACTTGCGCCTCTTTCTCTTCTTGCACTGCTTTTGTCGGAAATGGTGGGAGTATGTGCTCGTGATGAGGCAGAAGGAACGATGGTACAGTAATCGAACAATCGGCACCCCCTAGCCGGACCACTTGTTTCAGATCGACCTTTTGAGGGAGTGTTCGGTAAGCCATGACATCGTCAAAGCGTAGCTGTGTCGTGACATCGAATGCTGTCGACAACGGAACCTGGGCCATTCCGACTATGTTTGCCATTTCCAACACAAAGTTTGCATCCGCCAACCAGGACGACAACCGTTGCTCGAGCTTCGCAATCCCAGCATCATTAGCGCTGTGCTCCTTGAAGATCATTTCGTGCAGCGTGTGTTGCAGCCATTTGCCTGACCCGCCTGCTGTGATGGATTTGATATGGATAGTGTGGAAATATGCCAAGGGGTTCAACAGCAGACGCAGGAGGAATGGTAGTCTGTGCATGAATTTTCGAACATTTGGTGGAGTCAGGTTTTGCAATGTCGTGACCTTGATTGACTTGTGTGGAGGATGGGGCACTGAAGGCTGGTCGTGTAGTTCAGAACATATTGCTGCACGCATATCCTTAATATCCTTTGGATCAAAAATTCGAGTATCTGCATTGCCCGCAAGACGTGCATTCGATTGCACTTTTTCTTCACTCTCACGAATGACACTTGTTTCGTCAATGTACTTGAGGGCGTCGGCGTATCTAGATCGTGCCTTGTTCTGGTCGGGGGTGATTTGCGTCATGGAATCGATGCCTTCATCTGTCGAAACGGCCTTGGGGGCGCTTCCATCAGTCATCTGGTCCATAGTAGAGACTCTACTTGGCTGAGAGAATTCCCCATGTTTTGCTGCAGCCTGCAAGAGTGGCGTATCGGACATCATTAGAGAGACGCCATCGACCTCCTTCGAGTCTGCCAGGCTGCCAAATGTCATCTCAAATTCACCGCCTTTGAGATTACCAAAGACATCACCAATATCGATCCGTCGGAAGAATCTGACATTGACCTCATCTACCTGTAGGGCAAGTTCCAAGTCTTCGGAGAGTTTGATGCCCACTTCGACGCCATGTGCGACCAAGGTCAAGTTCGACAAAGAGAACGTTATGCCTCTTATCACCATGAGACCACTAACCTCGGTGTCGATTTCGAGAGCAGGAATGTTGAAGAAAGCAACTTTATCGTTAATAAAGTGCAACTGCCCGAGGACACCGCCGAGAATGCGTCTGACGAGGTTGGCGACTCGGTTGGATTGGTACAGACTTGAAATGAATACTGTCGTGTAGCAGATCGGTACGTAGAGCCCGTACAGAAGCCATGATGTTGCTGCAACGGCATAGCTGGAGTTGATAAGGAGGAGTAATGTCCATAGAGGGGCGAATGGCAGGACGCGATATCCTGTAGCTTCACCAAGCCAGAGAGAATATGTGAGGAGGGGTGCTCCTGAGAGTAACCATCGTAGGGGCCAGCGATAGAGGCTGAGCAAGGCGACCGTCAACCCGAGGAAAATGTGCGCTTGCAAGAAGACACCGGAGCGATATGCGCGTTTGTCTCTTGGCTTTGTGGTGGCAGCATCTTGCATGAGAGTTGGTTCGTCCATGATATGCTGTTCGATGTCGCCGTCGTGGATGTAAGGATACAGTGCTGATGAGGCGGCGGTGAAATTGGTCGTGAACGAAACCAAGTATCGTGTTGCTAGTGATTAAAGAATGACGTAGGTTAAAAACATGACGAGATGATCTTTCCGTCAAGTCCAACTTCAAGTACAAGTTGTCACGGACTAAACCAAGGACTCGTTTGTAGGGTATGAAATAAAAAGTTACTGGTAGCGAACGACGTACCAATGGTGTTGAGAGGTGCAGCTCGTGAAGAGGAAAAGAATTCACCATATGATCCATGTCTCGACAATACCGGCTTGAGTCAGCAAGCGCGACTTCATCTTGGAACGGCAAGAGTGGCTTGCAACCACGCTTCGAAGACTACTTGTATGCGAGATGTGCCATTTTGGTAGCCACAAGATGCGGCCACGTAATTGACGAAGGTGAAGGTCATGATGATACTGAAGACGTTGCATAAGCGACATGTTGCCTTATCCCTGTCACCCCCCTGCCGGTGCTTACTTAAAAATCTGGCCCAGATCTGGATCGAGATTGAGATTTTCCCCACACAACGTATTTCGGACTTCAAGCATGTTTTCCAAACTTTCAATTGACGGCAGATTTCATCCAATGCATCAACACGCAGCAAAGCATCCTGCAGGCAGCAGTTTGCGCTGAAAATGTGCCTCGAAAGAGCCGTCCGAAGGGGTTGATGATTGTGAGAACGCCCGGTACGCGAACGTGCAGAAAATCGATATATGGGACTGGTGCCCGCCCATCACAGAGCAGAAAGTGTCCGATGTCTGGCTTGGGGAGGACACCCTGTACAAGATCGTTGCAAACAACGAAAGTTCTGATGCGCGTCAAGACTGCATCGATTGTTTCTTCAACGATGGCGGGCATGGTCACCTAGATATTTCGGACGGAACCCTGCTCCATATCACTATCATCGACACCCTTTAGATTCCGATGATCAAGGAGTCCGACAACCGCACATCGGAGACATTGCATCGACGACGGCGACGGGGACGTCGTGTTAGTCCTTGGGAGGCTGGGGTGTCTATTGCCAATCACCCTGCTCCGAATATCGCTTCAGTCTCTGCACAATCTGCCATTGTCCATTCATACCACATGATCCCATCGCCAAGCGGTCCTTCTGTCCGAGGTAGGTGAGACGCGGTCCCAAACAATTCAGGCTTGATATCGCAGATTCCGGGATTTTTGGTCAACAATCACCCATTCGGGTTGTTAGCTCAGCAGGTAGAGCGCCAGTGATACATAGACACGGTCTCGTTCCGGGGGAAATCTCCAGGATACGAGACCTGTCTACACTGGAGGTCGTGAGTTCGAGTCGCACACAACCCGTGGCCTAGTAGTGATTTTCTTTTTTGTTCGTGCGACTTTTGTGCGATGAGGACATCAGTACACCACAGACAGGGCAGGTGAGGCGACCAGAGAGGAGAGATGGTTTGGCCGGCTGCGATCGTGCTTCCTTGTGTGCTTCATTGTCAATGGGCAAAGAAGGGTGGCTAGCAAAGGAGGCCGACAAGGCAACGACGATAGTGGAACCCCATAGCCTTGGGCGCACATCCTGTACACATTGGCTTTTTCAAGTCATAGTAGATCAGGTCAGAGCCTCAGAGATACGCGGTAGGCAACGAAATGAAGTCTTGCGGCCAGGATTATGCCCTACCGTCTACTCGGACGTGTCGATAATCAGGTTCAGCATGACAGAAGCTGATAGAAGACTAACACTTTGCATCAGGATCTCCAACCGTGACTGGAACGTACTGTATCATTGACGCTATGTGCTTTTGAAATCAAACATGCTCAATTTAACAGCCAAATGAATGCTGGACTAGACTTGCTCATTGACAAACAGACCAGCCATTCCTTGACCAGATCCAATACACATGGAAGTGACAAGAATCTTCTTCTTCGTCCTCCGTGCTTCACTGAGAATAGTGCAGATCTGTCTGGCACCAGTCGCACCCAAAGGATGACCAAGGGCAATAGCACCACCACGAGGGTTCATTTTAGCATGATCCAGTCCCAAGATGTTCAAGCAGTAGACAGCCATGGATGCAAAAGCCTCGTTGATCTCAAAGATGTCGATATCGTCCTTGGTAAGTTGGAATTTGGCAAGGAGCTTGGGGACCGCGACGGAAGGACCAATACCCATGATACGAGGAGGCACACCAGCAACAGTGGCACCACAGAACTTGGCCACGATGGGTTGACCCAATTCAATGGCCTTAGATCGCTTCATCAACAGTACGGCGGCAGCTAGTCTAATCAGCCAATACTCTTTACTCAGGAGTCAAAAACTTACCTCCGTCGGTGACTTGACTGGCGTTACCGCCGCTGGTGTGATCACCAAACTGTGGCATGGCCGGTCTGATCTTGGACAAACTCTCGATGGTTGTTCCATATCTCGGACCCTCATCTTTAGTCAGAGTGATCTCTTTCTCCTCGCCTGTCTTGGGGTCCTTGATCTTGGTGGTGATGGGTACGATTTCGTCGTCGAACCAGCCAGCCTTTTGGGCGACTTCGGCTCTTCGGAACGACTCGCAGGCAAATTCATCTTGCTGTTGTCGGGAGATGTTGAAGTCATTGCTGACGTTTTCCGAGGTCTGAATCATGGGTTGTGTGCAGTCAGCCGCCTCTTGGTTGCTCATCAGGGCTTCGGAGAATCCGGAGTCTGCGCCACCACCACGATAGTTGCCTGTCATGCTCTCGCCGCCCACAGCAATACCGATGTCGATGCTGCCATTCGAGATCTGGTTGGCAATATCTTGTACGGCTTTGAGACCACTGGAGCAGAATCTGTTGACGCTACTGCAACCGGCTGTGTGGGGAATTCCAGCTGCAAGGGAGGCAGCTCGGCATTTGTATGCTGCTCTGATGTCGCCGACCTAGAGGCAATCAGCGATAGTACTCGTTGAGAGTTGCGTAAACCTCACGTTTCCTAAGCAGACATCCTCGACCAAGGCGGGGTCAAGCTTGCTCTTCTCCAACACCTGCTTCAACAGAGCATACACAATGTAGTCGAGGTCGGTGTCCTTGAAACCACCCTTGTTTCCTTTTGCTAGAGGAGTTCGAGCGGCGAGGGTAATGACAATATCATCAGGGTTCTTCTGGGTGCTGGGGATGAAGTCAGCTTCCATTGAGCAATTGGAGTTTCGTTTACTTACATCGCGGCGACACCGGTCTTTCCACCCGACAACTGCGAGAAGATCGATCCTAGTCTCTGCGTGGTAGTGGCCATTGTGAGATCGTTTCTAAGCGCTTCGTAAGGTATTAGAGATAAGAGTAATGAGCTGAAGTTAGGCGGCGAAAGATGGACAAGGGAAAGCGGCAGGAAAGATGGACTGCGGGATGGATTTAAATGTCCTTGTCAAGTTGTCCCTCATTTGATGGCCCCCGTTGCAGCTTTTACCTCGGCACGTTGGAGTTCTTTTGCTTACTCTGTCTTAGAGAATTCGCCGCTTTACATTCAACAATATCTCTTCCACCGGAGGCAAACATGATCACAAAACACATTCCACCATTCCGGCACCCACTCGGTCTGGTAGGGTGCTTTTGATGGCTCCCATCGGTGGATCCGGAACCCCATGAAATTGTTCCAACAAGACCTGGCTATCCTTCGGCTACGAATTCAACACCTTCCATATGGGCATTTGTGGCAATTCATTTCCTGGCATTTCTATTCAGACATCATACGCTATCTATTATCTCTGCCCTTCCCGGAAATGTTTCCATTCGCTATGCATGACCATGACCACGTCTCAGTTCCCATAAAAGCCCGTTAGGTATGTCCTATCTTTGAATCTATTTTTCTTCGACGCTGTCAGGCTTTACAGCCTCGCCATCAGCATCCTTCATTTCCGTGTCTGGGGCGGAGGCTTCTTCTTTCTTGGGTTCTTCCGTCTTCTTGCTGGCCTCTTCAGCCTTCTTCTTCGCTTCGAGTTCGGCACGTTTCCGAGCAGCCTCCTCTTCTTGCTTTTGCTGCGCGGCTTGACGCTCACCCTCGATCTTGTCATTATACCGCTGAATCACGGGTCCGGCAACGAATCGGATTTCGTCCATCTTTGCCACATATTGTGCTTTGGACGCGTCTTCGCCATCCTCGTACAGCCAATCCTGTCATCATTATCAGCATGGAATATCAAATTGTCAACGGAATATGCTTACCTCGGTCTTCTCGAGCTTGTCTCGGATCTTCTCCTTCTCCTGTTCGTTGGCGAATTCGGAATAAACGTCATCGATCTTGCCACGAAGCTCGTAGATGTACGCCTCAAGCTCGTTCTTCTTGTCCTCGGTGTCGGTGACAAGCTTGTCTTCCATATACATGGCATTCTCCTTTTCGCTGGCCGAGCCCTTGTCCGCATCGGACATGGACGAAGTACCGGCGACGAGTGACAATTCTCCCTTGCGCACTTGCTTCTTGACCTTTCGCATTTTGGGCTTGGCTTCTGCGGAACCATTGGGCTGGTCGGTCTCCATGGCGTCGCCCTCTTTGGGCTTCTCTGGTTCAGGCTCTTCAACCTCGACATCTTCAACATAATAGCCGCTCTCCAGATTAAGGATGCCATGAAGATTTAGTCGGGCCTTGAGCTTGCAGATCATAAAATCGTCCTTCTCATCAGCCTTGACGCCCTTGACTGAGAAGCGTCCAATCCAAGGGTTGACCTTGCCGGGTAGCTGATCGGGTTTGGCGTACCGAGCCTCGAGGTCAAAAGGTTGCTTGCGGTAGAAGGTAAGGATCTTGGTTGATGGCATGATATTACCCTTGTTGAACACCGTCAGGCTCGTGTCCTCGTCAGGAATATCTGGTGATTGTTCCCAGATAAATTCAATGGGGTAAGTGACAATGTCGTGAACGGAGAAGTCTCGAACTCGGAAGACTGGAGAGAGAATGGCACAGCTGAAAGCACAACCACGGGCGACAGCCTCGTCTTGGTTGAGAGTGAATGACAAAGTCTTGCCAAAGAACTTGGAAATTCGCTCTTTGATGGACGGCACACGAGTGCAGCCACCAACCATCTCAATGGCATCGATGTCTTCGACTTTGAGCTTGGCTTCTGCGAGAGCTTGTTCCAGTGGAACGGTAACACGGTCGAGAAGAGGTTTGACAAGTTCTTCGAGCTCTTCACGTTTCAGGACGGCGCGAACATCCTTATCGTCCATGAGAGACTCGATGTTGAGAGGAGCTTGTGCGTTGGCGGACAAGATCTTCTTCATCTTCTCGGCTGCGGCTGCAACTCGAGTGGTTGCCTTTGCGTTAGTGGTGATGTCAACCTTGAACTTTTCCTTAAACTCGGCACCAAAATGGTCGACAAGAGCTTTATCGAAGTTACGACCACCGAAGTGTCGATCGCATGTGGTGGATTTGATGGCAAGTTCACCCTTTCGGAACTCCACAATAGAACAAGTGTAGTCACTGTAACCGATATCGATGAAGCACACCCGACGTGGTTTGGCATCGCCTTCCGGAAGGTCTGACTTGGTGATACCATATCCGAGAGCAATGGCAGTGTTGTCATTGATCAGCCGTAGAAGTTTCAGGCCAGCGATTTCGGAAGCATCCAGCATTGCTCTGCGCTGGGCATCTGTGAACCATGGCGGGCAGCTGATCACCACATCCGAGACAGGCAGTTTCAATTCATGGCTAGCCGTGTCTCTGATCTTTCCAAGATACATAGAAATCAGTTGGACTGCGGTGAACTTTTGCTTCTCCCCCCGGTATGTGACTTCTGCACCGACTTGTCCATTGACGTCAACTAGAGGGGCGGTGATGTATTGTTGCTCGATGGCGACTTCAGGGTCATTGATCGTTCGGCCGGCGAGACGCTTGAGCGAGGAGATTGTGTTCTTGAGGTTTGAGATTTCTTGTGTCTTGGCCGCTTCACCTAGATATCTGCTTTTGGGACCGAATCCGACAACGGATCTGTAGTAGTAAGTCAGCAAATGCTTGGTTGATGTCGGCTAGGAAATACTTACGGTGTTTGTCGGTTTGAGGTTTCATTTGCGATCTGTCGCGATGTTAGTCAAGGTTGACGGTTCGGTTAAGGTGCACCTACAATGTCTATTCCCTTGTTCCGAGCAACACCGATCTTTGTGCTTTGAGCACCAAGATCTATACCGACGACGCTCATGGCGGGCGGATATCCAATGCGGGACGGCGATAACAATCGGTGGGTTGGATGTGCAGAGGTCGTGAAACTGGATGGAAGGATGGATAATTTTGGTTTGTAGTGATCCGACAAAGTCAACAGCACTGAACGAAAACACCAGGTATTGTCGTTAATAGATCGACAGCAACAAAAAGGCCAACACTTTGAATCCCGCCTCAGAAATTTCCA